CAGATGAAAGAATTCCGAAAAAACTCTGTGAAAACGTTACCATGGACAGATATTACCATTAACAAAGTAAAAAAGTTTTCTGGATTACTGGATACGGATGGGCCAAACAAAAAATCGCATTGGAGAGATTAGTGGTCAAGGACCGTTTTATTTGAAATACCAATATTTCGTAAATCTTTATTTAGAACTTTGTTATTTGGCCAATTTCTTACTTTTTTCCATCTGAAAGACTATACAAAATACATCTACTGGAGACAGGCTTTGCAAAATTAGACCGCTTTTGGATTATACTATTCCAAAATTTCAATCCCTATACATACCTAAAAAGAATTTAGAATTTGATTTAGAATGCTTTGGGAAAGTGAAAGTGGGCTCGTGCGCAACTTGAAAGTCTATGCAAGACAGGGGAAAAAGCTGCATCACACCATATTGTCTGTGTTGGAGCCACACCTTGGTCATTGGCATCATATATACCAACCAATTATTAAAAAGCATTTCTAAGTATTAATAAGAAAGGAAACTCTAGTCTGTTGTACCACACGAAAAAACCGTGGCTTGCCAAAGGTTCGAATAGAAAAGTCCATAAGTCTGCGCCAAAGATGATTTTTGTACGGAAGTATTGTTATTATCGCGTGGAAGGATAAAAGACTAGTGCACATGATAATTATTCATGATGGTTCTCTGAAATCCAGTGGCAAGCGAAAAAGAAATTCTTTGGATAATATAGTTAAGCCTACCTGCACATTATAATACAATAAACAGGTAGAGACATTAGTTTATTTTGATTATTTTGAAGCAAGAGCTACGAAAAATGATTTGAATGTACTATATCGTTGGAATTTCCTCATACATTCTGCCGTAAAAGTTTATAGACTCAACTATATTACGTGTTTTAGAAAAATGGAAAGGAATACAAACACCAAGTAAAAATTTGTTTATTTAAATTATATGCGACTTGCATTCAAATAAATATTCAACTACAATAAGAATTTGTATTTAAAAAAATAAAAACACGTAAGAATATGAGCCCCCAAAGTTTATGGAATACTACCTTCTCATAAACTCTCCAAGATATAATACCTCATACATTCTCGATCGGGTAAAATCGGGGCTCTATTAGTGGCTGCTGAAGAACAGTGACATTTTCCATGTCTAAGTAATTTTTTTAGCTTTGGATATATTAATGGGAGCATTGGTCATGCTGGTACACCCAGTTCTCTTCTCCAGTATTTCTTGTAAATGGCATAAGATGGTCTGTTAGCATTTAGCCAGTTGAAAACCGAAAGCTGCGCACACCATAACAAATCCACCTCCACTGTTCTTACTGAAATAGCTCTTAGGCTCTTTTCGTAAGTCACGCTAGTAATATGAATACCCGTCAGGACCATCTAGATTACACTTTTTTTCATCACGGAAAATTACAGAGATCCATTTATCGCCATATGTCATGTGATTGCAGGTCCGTTGTAATCTCGTTTGTGAAGCTTTGAGAGCGGTAATGATCGAGCCATTTCTATGTGAATCATATAACTAGATTCCTTGATTCGCCTATGAATTGTGTTTTTGGATACCTGCAATCCACAAACCTTGTAATTTGGGGAACCGACTTTATTTCTCTCGAAACTATGCTTTGTATTCGCCTATCGTTGCGACCGTCCATCACTCGAGGTCTTCCTGAACGTGTTTTTGGTTGATGTGGTGTCTTATGAAATATTACATGATAAATCATGTTTACAGATCGATTTAGATGTTTCAAAATTTCTTTAGCAGAACTACCGTGCAATTTAAAGTTCAGAATGTTATTAACATCAGCATCAGAAAATTACGTAGATTAAGGCATACTTAAACAGTTCAAATGATTTGGGTAAAAGAATTGTAGTTTGAATGAGGGCATTATTATAAAAAAGGCTCAAGTTCCCCATCACGATTGCTGCTAACCAATTTAAATAAAATTACATTTTTCTATAAAGTTTTGGGACACACATTTTCTATTTTTTATTTTTCCTAAAAGACAAACTGATATTTTTGTTAAGTATTTTTTCGAATGCAAGGAAGGCACGTGTGTTTTAAATAAACATATTTTAATTGGGCAATTTTATACATTTCTATTTTTCTTAAACATGTAATTTACCTGAGTCTATGAACTTTTGGGATAGAGTGTATATCTCTCACATTTTTGTCGCTCAGTTAAATCTTTTTTTTATCTGTAATGAATTCTTAAAGTGGAATCGCGTTAGAAACTCTACATTTTAAAAATGCTGTGAATATGAATGAATAATTTTGTGCAAACATTTTTTAACAACAGTAGAACCTAGAATTTCTAGGTCTATGGAGGAAAGCTGTTGCATAATAGTCATTGATAATTCACTATAACTATATATATATAGTAACTGATATATATATATATATAGTGTTATAGTCACTGATAATTCTTTCTTAATTTCTTAGATTTTTTCATTTGTAAACCACATGCATATAAATACTTTTCAATAAAATAAAATACCTTTATATCTTAGTAAATATGAATAATATTTTCTTTCTTTATAATATATATTTTCATATAATTTTTAAAACACTGGCTACTTACTTTCGGTACAAAATGAAGCGTTTTCAATTCCAAATAATTCAGTTTACAAAAGTATTCAATTCCAATTCAAAATGTTTTACGCAAGTGAAATTCGGCTGAAATTTCTTCGCAAACGTTTATTTGTATCCCAAAAACTTTCCGTCTCATCCTTCCAAATTGTTTCAGGTCATATAAATTTCATGTTAGTCTGTAAATACATCAATACAGTTTTCTATATGGGTAACTTTACGCAACGTGTAATAAGAGAAAAGCCTTCATTGCTAATCCACTGTCCACAGTATCGTTCTCTATGGTGCATCGATGTGCTTCACTGGTCTAGCAAGACCGACTAATGCAATAGATGTAAGCCATGGCAGTGATCGATTACTTTGCTTTGAATCGATTACCCATTTTCTGTCATCAAATCTAATTTAATTAACGGTCTTCAAATTGCTACTGGCGAATTTTATTTACTCGTTTCAGTTTGCTTTAATGCATGTAAAAGTACAGTTTAGAAGTGATAAGTACATACTGTATTATTCGTTCTGAATATTATAAAAAAGCACTTCAGGAAACAATTAAAAATACTTACAAACAGATATTTCAAATTCCAGTCTAATAATTTAAATGCAATTGCAATGAATTTCTAGGCGATAGATAAAGCATTGGCGCAATTTTAATGTTGCGAAGGAATCGCCAAGTTGAAGTGTGAGCAAAGTCTGCTGCTAATCATTAAGCTATAAAATCTTATTAAATAATCTTAGTAATCTTTATTAAAACGTTTTAGCTACATAGCAATTATTACGCATTAAATGCAAATAAAGTGCTACAAATTTTAGCGAAATTTAGTTTCAAAAGAAATATATATTTCTTTTCTAGCACTTACAGAATGAATTTAAAAATTAATACAGAAATCAACAGTAAAATGAAAAGTAAAGGCAATTAAAATATTTCTGTTACTAAAAATATAGACCATTATTAGACTTTTGATTCAGATAGTATGCACATAGAAACGCTAGAAAAACTTTCTGAAGCAGAGGCATGTAATATATCATCATAATTATTCTAAATTGCATAACACCTACTAAAACTTGCAAAGTTTTTTTTAATGTACAGATGTTTTAAAAGATTTCCTCGATTACACTGACATATGAGACATATGAGAAATCTTATGCTATGTAGAATGACAATAACATCAATTCTGACCTCAATCATCACACTTTGGGGATCAGACAGTATTGTGGAACTCTAATATAATTTAACGGAAATGAAAACAATAATACTGAAAATGCTTTGACGTGCTATAAAGAGTCCTACATATTAAATTACTGGGTGATTGCGAAAGTTCGTACGTAGTTTTCATAGATTGAAGAAACGAGAATTTTCACAGCTTTAGGGCAGCCGTGGTGTTTATTACATGAACATGTTCGGTGAATTACGTCGATTATTGCGTGACAGGACATAGTGACAATAGAAAACATGCCATGTTGTGTTACATGGATTTGGGAAACAACGCATATTGAAACTAAAGCAAGGCATTTGCGATATGTAATTGCAATGTGCTTCTACTCTACTAATAAAACAATAAAAAAGGGTTTAGAATATTTTCAAAATGATGATTATAAGTATTTGACGATAAACTGATTGTATTCTGACACCTTTCCGCATTGATGGTGATATCTTGCGGGGCTTTTTTTTGGGGGGGTATTGCAATAGGGTTACAATTTAAGAAATTTAAAAGTTGAGGTCTGACCAGGCCGAGACTTTTGTAAAGCGAAGACCATGACACTAAAAACCATGGCGATCCTTTTCGTCCAAATTTCTTATCGTAAAATCCATTTGGAGTTGGATATTTTAAATTTTCATCCACAAAAATAACTTTTTTATATTACCTATTTAGTTACAAATAAGTTGTAAGACTTTCACTGTGTAAATCTCAGTTACTCTAGAAAGTGACGAGTCTTAAGAACTAGATAGAGAATAATCGCTAAGTTCGTGTGATAAGAAACAACAAGACAGATGAGTAACTAACCTTTTATTGTTCTAATAAGATTTAAAAAAACTCCGCCTGGGAGTGCTGTATAAACAAAGCCGACGCTTGGGCTTGAACTTAAGATACTAAGAATTAAACTAAAACTAAGATTAACTAAAGCAATATAGCCGAAGCTATCAAGATTCAGATCGAGTTGGCCCCTTAACTTATTTGACTACGAAGCTTAGCAAGGGCCTGAGTACGGCCGAGCGTAATAACAGCTTTGAGAGAGAGAGAGAGAGAGAGAGATAGAGAGAGAGCGAGAGAGAGAGAGAGGCCAAAAAGGCAGACGTGCGTAAATCAGAAACTCGAACTCTGTAAGTAACTTCGTGGTTTAAATACCGCTCCTCCTCATTAAATATTCAGCAAGATTCCAAAACTACGTTCTGGCTTGAAGTAGAAAGTTGAAGTTAAGTTTCCAGTCAAAGAATTTGACTGGAAAGGAACTTTAATTTAAAATTTAACTGTTAATAAAATTAACATAATCCTTACAAAGTTCCCAGAAAACAGGCTTTATAAATTATTTTTACGTTTTAGGCATTCTAGAGAAATTATAGTTAGCATAGCATAGCTGGAAGGTGTAAACCTTGTACGAACACCTAGCAATTTATTACTAGTTTAAGCCCAAACTAAAATTATTGTTTTTATGCAAAATTGAGAAAGGTTGTGAAGACAAAAATGATTATAACGAAAATTTTAAATGTACAGAAGTACTAAATTTATTCATGAATATGCTACTCAGAACTCAGATTTAAATTAATATATTATCAAATACTTCGTTTTGATTCATAAATAATTTAAATTGAATCACAAATGAGATTTTAAAGAAAAAGCAGCAATTATAAGTTTTATAGAGTAAAAAATTACAGACATAATTTTTTATATCGCAACATATGCAAATTAAGGGTTATACGAAAAATTTAATGACATATTTTTCGTACAAACTAGGAAAACGTAGGATACAAATATTTTTCCTTTTCCTATTTATGGTGAAACATAGTGCTATTACATGCGAATACAAAAATTATGGAAAGACTTAAATAGAAATATTGTAATATTAAAAAATAAAATTATAATAGTACGGATAAAAAATAATAAAATTATAACAAAAATATATAACATGTTAATAAATAGTTTGAATTCGAACGTCCGTAGTGTTGCTAGCTACAAGTTGGTGCATATCTTTTTATCACTCTAAATTAACAGGATAAAACTAGCAATTTATTGGAAAACAATACAGTATACACTTTCATATATTTATTAGATTATTACTATCTTGTCATATTCACACACACATATATATACAGGGTGTTTCAGCAAATCGGTTACAAACTTTCAGAAGAGACAGAGTACACCCATTCGATGGAAAATCAAATCACACACCAATGCATAGTCGAAAAGGCTTTCCTGACGCAGTAGTGACAACACAAAAAATAAGAAAAGAAGAGCGTGAACAGGATGAGGAGCAGATAGTAATAATCTTCTCATCTTCGACACATGGAAAATCTGATGTTCTGGAAAATACCGGACATGTCCCGGACTTCTCCAACAGATGCCACGATTCGTCCAACAAGTTCCTCAGCACTTCTAACGAGGATTTCGTACATCAGTGCCTTAACGGTACCCCCCCCACACAGAAGAAGTAGTTAATGCAAGTGAGGTCTTGCGATCTTGCTGGCCAATGCATCGGACCACCGCTGCCGATCACATGTTCAGGATATGTTTCGAACGTAATTTTGAAAACCTTCTTTGATGATTATCCTCTGTTTCTGTCCTTATTTCTTAGTTTTCGATGCAATAATCATAATAAATGCATATTCTCCTCCTGTTCGTGTTCTTCCTTTCTTGCGCTCTGGGGCGTCACTACCGCGCCAGGAAAGCGTTTCCGACCATTCATTGCTATATCATTTTCCTTCGCCTAGCTGTACTCTATCTCTCTTGAAAGTTTGTAACCGATTTTCTGAAACACCCTGTATATATGTGTCATGAAATAAATTTGTTCGTTGCAGTTTATTTAAAGATGAGTGCTTGACTTGAAAAATCACTTATTATTTGAAAGTCGCGAGTGGATCGAAGTTAAAAGGGCACTGAAATGTCGTTGTGGAAAGTACCGGGAAATTTTGAAGAATTACGAATCACTTGATAATCCAATCATATTTACTTGTTGATTATTTCATGGCATGGCACATGACAGTGGGGACAATCTGCTTCGCACAATTTTGATTATGACACATTACATCGTTTAACAATGAACAGAAGCAGCCAAGCAAGAGACGTCATTTAGCTAGCAAGCGTAGGCAACAAAAGAGAAGGTATAGGTAGTAGCCGTACTATTTTATAAATTTATAAATTTTTTGTTTTAGTTCTGGATATAGTGATTGGACAAAAGTTTACAGCAATGCGGATACTGCATGGAAATTGCAGAAGCTTTGAAGGGAGTGTGCTTTAACTCAAAATTAGTTATTTAAATTTCTATTGTTAATTGATTCCAATTCAGGTTAATAATTTTGTTTTCTATCTTATACTTTACACACAAACACACACATATATGTATGTTTGGTATTTTAAAATTTTATTCGAATCATAATCTTCTTTTTCAAAACAGAATGCACTTTTTACTATTTTGTTATTTTCTTAACCGTTTAATGAACTGTTTTAACGTTTTGAAATAAAGTGAAGAAAACCACGCAAGAGCTCTCAGAATTGAAGTTCTCTGAGTTAAATTTATTGTATTTTGATTACAAAGGCTTAGTTTTATCAATTAGCAGCAAAAAGTATAATTTTTATTTATGTACTAATAATATACCTTTTGAAGCTGATGTTACGTTGTAATCTGAAGTTTACAGAAAGAAAAATGTATTATTTCTTTTAACTAGCAGACTGGGATGGATTTCTGATGTCCTAGCATCGAACCTGGTTATCAACTGTTTAACGCCTGGCTGTTTGTTTATTCCTGTGATTAATGGCATTTTCACCAACCGTGTGCTTAGTTGCCAAGTTCCGCTGTGGAATTTAGTTGCTGGTTAGATATTCATCTATTATCTGAATACTATAGCTGAAATGCTTAATGGTCAGTCAACTGTCCTTCGAGTGGAGGGGAAAAAATAACTCACCAAATATAAGCCTGAAAATCCTAAATATACGCATTTCACATTTGCGCCTGTATTCGCGATACTTAATTCCTAGCAAATAATGAGTATAATTAATCATATTATCTCTTTGATGGCTACCGTAATGATTTATGGTAGTTGTCAAAATTAGCTGACTAGCTATAGTTAATATGATTCTCAGAATAACTTTTGTAGTTTGAAGTTTTGCGAATAGATAAAAATCAGAGGATAAAGACCATTTATTAAATGTGACTGTTCCTAAACGACTATTTCATATTACCATTTACACAAGTAAAATTTTCAATAAGATTCCTGGAGAAATCTTTTCAGCATCAAATAAATGGAAATTTCCTTTTAAGTATTCAAAGGAGCTCCGAAAGAGGGAATGCAGTGCATTTTTAAATCTTTTGAATTATTTAAACGAAGAAGTAATTACTTATTCAAGGCTGAACCGTCTCCCTTTCCATTTCGATTTGATAACATATTTTCAAAGAATTTTAAAGAATTGAATTTTGAATATGATGAAACACATGCTGCACAAAAGACAGAAATTTTAAAATAAATTAAAGTTTTATGAAGCGACAATTGTTTCAATGGATTACTAAATGTCCTCCCTTCTCCCATTCAGAATTACTAAATGTTCCCCAATGCAATTAGCAGTAATTGCCTTGGGAAGTAATAGCAGTCCTGACAAGATAAAACAGTAAATCCCACTTATTGTAAAACAGTTTTCACTGTGTAAAACAGTTTTCAAAATATTTTGGATGTATATTAAAAAAACGAGATAAAAAAGCACAAAATATTAAAAAAAAACACGATAAATGTTTTTAAGAACAAATTTTGTATTTTCGGACTTTACAAGCAGATAAAAATGGAAAATTGTAAAGATTTTAAGTTTTACCAACGTTTACTATGTTTTAAAGCTTTGCTATCCTCTCTGATTTTCCATTTCCGGCCAGAATAAGCGCAAGTAGGAATTTTATGTTAATGAGTTGCAAACTGTAAAGGCATTTAAAAAATGGCTTTTAGCCAACAGAAGAGACAACCTTCTTGCTGCCCTGCCAAGCGCGTGCTTTTCAGTCAATTCATGTCTGCCTTTAAGGCCAGAACTTATTTCCTGCTGATATTAGTAAGACGTATTATAGTATTTTGCATTTCGCTCATTACATACGTAGTGTCAAAAAGCCAATTTTCTCATTAATAGTCTCTGTACATAATTTTAGTTCTTATTTAATTTATTTATTTATTATTTTCAACGTTTTAGACCAAAAGTGCTGGTCTGTGTATCCCGAACTGCGGGAGAGCCTGTACGCCGTGAAAATAAAAATAAATAATAATATAATAAAAAAGTTAACCCTTCTTACTTATGTTGTTTGTCTACGCATACACGAGCATAGTTTGAGCTCCCATTCCCATTCAGGATTACTAAATGTTCCCCAAGGATTACTAAATCACCTGTTCAGGATTACTAAATGTTCCAATGGATTACTAAATTTCCTCCCTGCTCCCATTCAGGATTACTAAATGTTCCCCAAGGATTACTAAATGTTCCAATCCATTGTTTCAATGGATTACTAAATGTCCTCCCTTCTCCCATTCAGAATTACTAAATGTTCCCCAATGCAATTAGCAGTAATTGCCTTGGGAAGTAATAGCAGTCCTGACAAGATAAAACAGTAAATCCCACTTATTAAATGTGAAAATTTGTTGAACGAATATTTCATATTTGAAGAGTTTGAATTTCTTTCAAAACAGGAAAATCAGCAATGCCCTTGTCTGGATTCGATCTCTGGAATTTCCTTTTACTAGCCGAAAGTGGATCCAGTAACATTATCAAAGTGCGCCTTGAGAAAAAACGAACTCGCGTGAAAAGAATTCTGTATGCAACTACTGTAATGTTCTAGTAATTATAATATTTAATTAGAAATCTCCCATTGCCACCCAGAGATTGATTTATGCGGCCATGCTAATGACAAGGGGTTCTGCATTACAAGAGACTCCAAATCCCTAATCAGATTCAGTGAAAAGCAGTGTAAAGGTGTGAAAAAAAACAGTAAAAGTTTTTTGTGCCTTAGAGAGAGAGTTACCTTAAAATTTCATGGGAAATGGGCTCCCTATTTCGGGAACACGTTACTTTACCAATTAAAGTACATTATATTGCGCAAACAATTTAAGAAAATCTACGGTAACTTCTAGCACGGTTTTTATAGTTTGTGAATATAAAATTAGTAATACAACAGGGATTGATTATAGTCTGACGCTAGCATTTTTTCGAAAACTTAACACATTATTTTAAAATAACTACCATTATTTTTGTTATTTTATAGTAGTTTTATTATTTATAATGGTCAGAATGTGTTTTAATATTGTTAACAATAAATAATTATCTATATTTACTGAACTGTGTCAAAATAAAATATGAAAGAAATTGCTACATCACAGAGTAAAAAGTAATGGAATTTTCATATGAGATTCTCCACAGCCTTTCAATACAAAGGTGGTTCTTATCGTTCCGATAACTTGAAGGAGCCAGCAACTTGGAGTAACTTAGACGACATGACGTGACGTCATGAAAACAATAAATTTTCCGGAAATATTTG